ACTTCGCCAGCAGCCCCATTGGGGAAGACCGGATGTGCCTCAGGATGGAGATGGGGGGGAGCGAGCAAGAGTGCCCCGAACAACTTGACAGCTGGACACGCACGAGGAAAATGATTGGGGGGAGGAAAGGGGAAAAGGGAAAAGCAGCTCTAGAAACTACCAGTGTGGTAGTAAATGCGAGCCCTTTAAGAACAAAACAACCGGAGATGATGAGTGAACTGATGACTAGGTCAAAAAGCTATATATATATATATATATAGAAGGGGGACAATAAGTATTTGGGGACCTGACAGATAGAATCAAGATTTCGTGAAATGTTAATCTTCTTCTTGTTGTGCCATATCCGTTATCGGATGTTGGCGATCATGTTGGCAATCCTGTTTTTATCAGCAGCCACACGAAAAAGTGCTGCTCAATTTGTCTAAACCAGTCCCTTAGATTTTGAAGTCACAATGTTCTTCTGCCTGGACCTCGTTTGCCTTCAATCTTTCCCTGGAGGATTAAATGGAGTATGCTGTATTTTTCTGGGTGTTGCACTACATGTCCGAAATATTCTAATTTTCATTTTTTTATTGTTTTGATGATTTCCCTTGGCTTTCCCAGGTGGCTTATCACCTCATTTTTGATCTTGTCAACCCAGCTTATACGTAACAGCTGCCTGTAAATCCACATTTCAAATGCTTCTAGTCCAGTGGTTCTCAACCTTTCTAATGCCATAATACAGTTCCCCATGTTGTGGTGTCCCCCAACCACTTATACATCACCGGGTGCCAGGGGCGTGGCCAAAGAAAAGGGGGGAAAATGGCGGACAGCCTTGTTTGGCGACCCCTGTGAAATGGTCGTTCGACCCCAAATGGGGTCCCGACCCACAGGTTGAGAACCACTGTTCTAGTCTCTTAATGCCTTTCTAGAGTCTCAACATCTTTTTTGTATCATGGTGACCAAAACTGGATGCAGTACTCCAAGTGTGATCTTACCAAACAGTACTACCATTTTATATGAGCTTGATACTATCCCTCTGTTGATGCAGCCTAGGACTGCATTGGCTTTTTTGGCAGCTGCAGGATACTGCTGATTATATTTAAGAAGTTGTCCAGTAGGACTCCTAGAGTGTTCTTTGTAGGGTTTTTTAATAATGTAAACTCAAAGGCAGGAACATCTGGATGTTACTGTTCTGTAAGCTATTTTGTAAGTTTTTCAGAAACTAAAAAGTGATGGCATAAATTTAAAAAGCCTACAATGGCTGATTACAAGATTTATATTTTAAAAAAATAGAGCTTTTCAACAAGGAGACCTATCTATTGTGCAAGAGCCCTCTTAAATTATTTTAAGAAAATAATGTAAACCCTTTATAAAAGCCTGCTTTGTTTCCTTTTCTCTCCACCCCATTTTTAAACCATTGTGACTGAGTAAGAGTTCTGGAAAACCAATATTTCACAATATTTTGTAAAGCTTCAATTGACCTAACAAAAATATTAATTTAATATGTATTCTGACCTGTTCTTTCTCTCTTTTCTTGTTTCCATTGCACCCTGCCTCTCTACCAGTATCTCTGAACAATCAGAAATAAACAGTTATTATTACCTAATCAGAATGATAAAAATTTTAATGTTTATCAGGAGCCAGAATGTTAAAAAGACAGAACTATATAAAAATGAGGTGAAGTGTTGTTGCTATAGGTCAGTGATGGCAAACCTTTTAGAGACCGAGTGCCCAAACTGCAACCCAAAACCCACTTATTTATCACAAAGTGCCAGGGCTGCATCAGTGGTGCCCTCGGGGGAGTTGGGGTTGGGCATGGCCCACTGGGTGGGCATGGCTGCGGTGAACACAGCAGACTAAGTGGGCATGGCCGGGGTGGGCATGGCCACCTTGATGTTGCTTGTGGGGGGATGTCTGTGGGGGCTAGGCAGGAATGGGGGAGATCCATGGGGTCTTTGGTGGGTGGAGCGGTGGGCAGGAGGCTCGTCCTGTGGGGTGAGGCAGAGGGTAGGCAGGGGGTAGGGTAGGGGTGCCATTGCTGGGGGGCAAGGCGAGACAGGTGCATGGGGCGTGCTCTATCACCTCTACTTGAGCTTGCTAGCCAGCTGCTTTGCCTCCTTTGTGCTGGGTGGGGCTGGCACTCCAGGTGCCAGCAGTGGCCTAATGGACCTGCGTGAGCTGGCAGCAGTGGTGGCAGTTGTGCCCACAGAGAGGACTCTGAGTGCCGCCTCTGGCACGTGTGCCATAGATTTGCCATTACTGCCATAGGTTTTGGGGTCAGGTTTAAGATGAGAATTGTCAATGAAAGTTGGCCATTGCTAGCAGTTACAAATATTTTTTTTTACCTAGGATTCCGGAAGTGCAAAGATGCTAAGAAAAAGACTCAGGCATTTCTTGAGTAGAGGTTTGAAGCTGCAGGACACAGCTTGACAAACTCTGAGTTTATTGATCCTTATATACTTTCTACATACATAGACTTTTACATTAAATGCTGACATTTTACATTCATAAGTTTAACTTTTAGATGCTGACATAAAGTTTCTTTATTGGAAAATTCCTTCATATAAGCAACTATTTTCTAGTAACATATTACCTGCTCAGAGACCAGGTAAAGACAAATACAGATAGATCAGAAGGAGAAAGAACTAACAGAGGCAGGAAGAGATAAGAGGGAACTTAAGCATATTATTTATTTAGGTAGGTAAGATATTAAGTCAAAAGGGGATGACCTTTTGGCTGCTTCCTTGGGACAAAGGGTATCAAAAGGTTATGAGGTTTGTGGGGGGGGGGGAATCATGGCAGTTTGCTGCGCGTGCTTTTTTCACCACATGGAAGAAAATAATAGTGGCTATCCAGTACAGGAACCTAGGTTTGAATCCAGCCTTGGAAGGAATATAAACTATAAAATGGTCTTACCATCATTTCAGTTACAATTAAATACTCATAATGCTAATGATAATAACTGATTAGTCAACAAAACAGACAATATAATAGAACATGAAGAAACTAAACTGCTCTGAGACTTTACAATTCAAGTAGACAAAAACCTGCCATGTAACACCCTAATTCTATCAATTGTTTATAGAAAAATAAAAAAATCTAGATAATAAACATTGAGGAAGTAAAGTGAAAGAACTGGAGAAGATCACAAAATACAAAGATCTGTAAATAGAAATAGAATGACTACTGGCAAAAGAAAGTGAATATAGTACCGACAATAATAGATGCCTTGGGTGCAATCCCAAAACATCTGAAGCACCACTTGAACACCATTGACATTGACTAGATCACTGTGACTGCAAAATGTAGCTTTACCTGGAACAGTTTACACCCTGAGACAATACGTTTAACACAATCAAACAACATTTAACAACAATCAAGCAATCAAACAACAAGATCTATCTATCCCAGGTCCTTGGGGACACTATAGGATAAAAATGTGGATAAAAGTGCCAAATCCAATTGAAACATCTGGCTGACTGTACAACCAACCATAATAATTTATCAGACTTTTACATTGCCTGACTCCCAACAACTCTGGATGGTACACAACAATAAAAAAGCAATTACAATAAAATCAATATATGATAAAGATAAAAGATGGCAAATACAATAAAGAGAGGGGTCTTTCCAATGCTCTCTGTAAAGAGCCAGATCTTCACAGCAGTTCTAAACCACTCCAAAGTAGGGCATTTGAATCTTGGGCAGAATCTGAAGCAAAACAAAAACAAAAACAAAAAAACAAATCAAATCAGCCACTGAAAAAGTAAGATAGCAGCAATGGTACTAGTTCAGCCTTCCCTTTATTTATTTTTTTTACACTCCTTATGGCTTCTATTAGAGCTCATATCTGGGCTACCAAGAAATACTAGAACGCTACTTAATTGATATAAGGTATAATAATAGAATCTTAAAAGCAAGACAGCTTTAGCTTATTTTGTTAGCTGTTGATTAGTTGGTTTAATTATGCTTTTATGAGTTTATAGTATAAAGGCTTGCGATTACTGCTTGTTTTGAAATTAGAATGTTTGAATTATCTTGTTACTGCTTGTTAAAAGATCTTTCTCCTTTTTTTTCACCACATTCACTATAGTAAAAAGTGTTGGGTTTTTTGGTTAATTTAGGGCAGTGAATGATCCCAGCCGTGGTGAATGATGATCCATATCATATATATATATATATATATATATATATATATATATATATATATATATATATATATATATATATATATAAACACTCACGATGCCACACTCAAGATGCCAAACACTCAAGATGGCAAACATTATCTACACCACAGCAGGTGAAGTGAGTTGACCACAGCAGGTGAAGTGAGTTGGGCTAAGAAAGGGTGACTGTTCCAAGGTCAACCAGCTGGCTTTCATGGGAATAGTTTCTAGTCTGGTGTTTCAACCATATTACATCAAACAGGCTCTTTGTGCTTTATTAGTGTTATGATATGCAGGCTGCAAAATAACAAGCACTAAAATAGCACACGTGAGAATTTTCTATATTTCTATATTTCGTTGCTGCCATATAGTTGTCACCCAAATCGTTGCAGTTGAGATGAACCAAGGTTAAGATTATATTCATTTTTCTCTATATCTGAACCTTGCAAGAACAAGGACTTATATATAACAAGCAGGTATTGAAACACATGGCCAAAGATTTTGAGGACATTCAATAAAAGCTGATAACTCTCGGGTTCAGTGTCCACTTACCTCTGACACTTTTAAAGAAGATAAAAATCGTGATACAGCCTGACAGAAGATAGATACTGAGTTAATGGGTTACATGAAAGATACTATGGAAATAAAAAAAAACTCCTGAGGTTTATACAGTATACACGAGTCCACAGAGCTATCTAGGCCGCCAGGTGGCGGTACAACTGTTCAGAGGTCGGAACGGTCTGGGCGTAGCTTCTGTCTGGTGGGGTGTCAATCCCGCCCAATTCCCTCCCTCGAGATTGACGTGCTTCCAGTAGCAAGCGGCTGCTCAGGTGTGGGCGTAGCCCCTGCAGAAATCCTTCCTTCTCGCTTTTGCTCACGCAGCCGGTGGTTGCGGTGCCCGGCTCGATTTTACATCGCCCTTCTTTCCTGGTCGTCGAGAGGAGTGGCTGCCCATCCGGCTGGCTTTCTGGCAGCGTCATGGCAGAGCTGGAGAGCCTGGAGTTCGGCAAAGCAGATTTCCTGCTTCTCGACACCGTGTCTATGCCGGAGTTCATGGCCAATCTCCGGTTGAGGTACAGAGTGGATTGCTGCGGACGGGGGGGGGGGGGAATCTCCGTGCCTCTTCCTGCCCCATTTGGAGAAAGAGGTGGCAGCAGGTGTTTCTCCCCTTGCTTTTGGGAAAGAAGGACATCTATCATGGAAAGTAAATCGGTTTCATTTCCCATCGCCAATTAAATGAACCCTAGTTAAAATGAATACTCCCTAGTACAAAAGGCAACGTATAGCCAATGATGATTGGGAGAAACACTAAGCAGGGAGAAAAGCTATTTATTACCATGAAATCCTACAGCTACTAGGAAGACCAGAAAATTAAGAACCCAGAAGATAAGGCAAACTACTTCTATATTGCTGCCAAGAAAACTATCTGGATGTAGCTGGGAAGTCATCAGTCATAAAGTTCAGTCTGACCCTTTTTAAAAGTCTTAACTTAAACCTTTGGACCATGTGTTCATAGTGTATTATATGCATAATCTAGCTGAATGAAAAGCAGTGCAATTGCTTATTGGGATTGTTAAATTTCAGCTACTATAGCTAATGATCAGGAATCCTGGAAATGTTACAATCTCCGAAGCAGGCTCTCTAGATTTATTGCTTTTCAGATCGAGTTAAAGTCAGAGAGAGGGTGGGTTATGGGTATGGGAAAATGGCTTTAAAAACAAACCTGTAAAAAAAGTATCATCCCTCTTTTACAAGGGTTGCAAGGGTTGAGAGAGAATTGTTTACCTGTGGCCACTTGTGAGCAGAGTTGAAAAGTTTGAGTAAAAGACTTCCTGATTTTTGTCAGAGGTTTTTACAATAGAAAAAGGTACAAGACAGGGATGTCCATTGTCACCGTTACTGTTTGTTCTAACATTGGAAATTTTGTTGATCAAAATTCGAGAATTGCAGGAAATAAAAGGAATAGAAGTTAATAAAAAAGAATACAAGCTAAGAGCTTTTGCAGATGACTTGGTGGTTACGCTGTCTCAACCTACCTATTCTGTAGTAAAGTTACTACAACTGATTCATCAATATGGATGGGTTTCGGGTTTTAAAATCAACAATAATAAGACTAAAATATTACCTAAAAATATGACTAATCGGGACAAGCAGATTTTGGTTAATCTGACTGATTTTGAAGTTGTTGATAAGGTAAAATATTTGGGGGTTACTTTATCTGTTTCTAATGTAAAATTGTATAAAAATAATTATGAAAGGCTGTGGATCAGGGTACAGAAAGACTTGAAGAATTGGGAGAAGTTACAGTTATCTCTTATGGGTAGAATTGCAGTGATTAAAATGAATGTCCTACCAAAATTTCTCTTTTTGTTTCAAATGCTACCTATTTTAAAGAATGAGGTTAATTTAAATGAATGGCAGAAAGGCATTAATAAATTTATTTGGGCAGGGAAAAAACCAAGGGTAAAGCTTAAAATCATGCAAGACTTCCGTGAGAGAGGTGGACTCAAGGTACCGAATCTGAAATTATATTATGATGCTGTGGTCTTAACATTGATTAGTGATTGGGTAAATTTAACAAATGTAGAAATACTCTATCTGGAGGGTTGGGATTTACTTTTTGGATGGCATGCCTACTTAATTTTTAATAAAAAAGTGGATCGAGTTTTTAAATCACATATTATAAGGATTTCTTTACTTCGGGTTTGGAGGAAATATTATAAGAGTGATTTTAAAATACCTTTATGGGCCATATCTTGGCATGCGATAGAGGGGATAAGGAGAGGAGTTAAAATGGATAGGGTCTCTTATACACAACTACTTAGATGGGATGGTCAAAATTGGCAGTTAAAATCTTTGGAAGATTTAGTGCATGAAAATATTACCTATTCATGGTTTCAATATAGACAAATAGTGGATAGATGGAAGATGGATTGTAATTTGGGCTGGCTTAGAGAAGATGAAAATCTTTTTAAACAAGTAAAGGATCAAAGACAAACTCACATTAAGAGGGTTTACGGGGTTCTAGTGGAATTGGACTCAGAATCAGAATTAATTAAAGACTGTATGATTAAATGGGCACAAAATTTTGGTGAACCAATTCCACTGGATACCTGGGAAATCATTTGGGTGAGGAATGTTAAATTTACACAAGCCCAGAATTTAAGGGAGAATTTTTATAAAATGTTTTATAGATGGCACCTTGATCCACAAAAAATGTCTCTAATGTACCCTGACTTACAGCCTAAATGTTGGAGATGTGGTTGTCTGGACGCCACTTATTATCATATTTGGTGGTCCTGTAAAAACATAAAAGCTTTTTGGATTAAAATATGGTGGAATATTCAAAGAATTTTTAGAAAGAGGGTAAAATTTACTTCGCAATTATTTTTGTTAGGTATTGTTACTGATTGTGATGCTAAGGAGGTTATATTGATGTTAAATTTGATTACAGCCGCAAGGCTGTTAGTAGGGCAATATTGGAAGAAGGAATCTTTGCCTATTTTGCAAGAGTGGTTTGTTAAAGTTTCTTATCTGGCGGAAATGGCAAAGATTTCGGCTTTTTTAAAGGAGCAATCGCAAGAGAAATGGGAAAAATGGATAAATTTTATACAACATAAATTGGATATAAAAAATATCATTTAGCTTTTTTATAACGTATATAATTTTTGATATTTTATAGATTGTACTTTTTCTCTTTTTTCTCTTTTTTCTCCTTTCTATCTCTTTTCTTCTTTCTTTTTCCTTTTTTTTAAGTATTTTTTTCTTTTTAATGCTTATGTCATATATATTTTATTATTAACTATTTTACAAGTTGTTAAATTTTTTTTTAGGTTTTTTTTAAATTTTAATTAAGCCTATATTCAGCTCTGGGAAGCTGGGGGGGGGATGGAGGGGGTGGTTTGGGAGGGGTTGGGTGAGGGTTGTTTTTTTTGTTCTTTTTTTGTTATTTGTAAAAACTTTTAAAAACTTTCAATTAAAAAAAAAGACTTCCTGATTCATACCTAAGTTTTTATTCAGTGTGCTAAATCCACTTGGATAAGTATTTATATATTTACTAGATTGGGTTGAATGTGGAAGCCCTGCTTTTAAATAGTCTTAGAGGATATTGACTGATAGGACTATTGTGTATTACTTTGTTAATTCTTGCAATAACATGAAAATTCTTGCTGGCTCACTTTTATAATCTAATCTTCAAGCCTTCTAGAAGTCTAATCATAGAATTTAGCTCTATCCACAATCTCCCTGGGATATCTACTTTATATAGGATAGAATTTTGCAGCTGAATTCTTGAGTAGCCCAACACCCTACCTCATCTTTATATCCTGCCTCAATGAAATCACTCAAATAATGGCTGAAATATCCACAGTGACTTTACTTCTTGGGAATAGAAATATTTTTATAGCACACACAGACTATTAAGGTCAAGAGAGCCATTATTTTTTTAATAATCTCTATTATATATTAGAATCATAACATTGTTTTAAATTTTCATCTCTAAACAATGTACATAATCCAGACTGGACAATAATTCTCAAACAGGATAGGCAGATTGCAGAAAAGATCTCCAAGACCTTCCTTAACATGCAACTGCAGCTGCCTTTTTAAAAACTAACCAAATTGGAAAATTAGAGCCTATTTTTGTTGTAAAATATTTCTATAAAGCACATCTCCACATTGAAACATCTGGCATTCTTGATTATTTCTGAGTTTGGAAACTGAATTTATAACTCAGTTATAAACTGAGTTTATAAGTGTAGTGGGTGGAAAATCTCTGGCCTCCAAATGTCACAAAATGATAAATCAAAAAATGCTACCATGTTGGCTGGGATTGTTAGGAACTGTAGTTTAGCAACATATACAGGTAGGATAGGGTTGTTTACTCCTGGTGAAAATCTATTTGATCTTCTAGTTTGCATTGTTGATTTCAGTACAATTTTCAAAACAGAAACTTTGTTTTGAATGGCATATGAATTCAATTTTAGTGATAAATAGGACTGCACACATTAGAATCTTATTCGTGTTGTGTGTCCTGTTTCATTACTGTTATGGTGGCTCTTTAATCATTAATTGTTAAGTATGTCACCTGGATATAGAATAGCCACTATGTGGCATGATTAAATGTTCATATTGAAGGAACGTGTATATATAATGATGGCACTAATGATTCCATTAATCAACACAGAATGTCTCAATACAGAATGACATGAATATGCTTGTGCTATATAGGCCTTTAGCCTAATTTATATGAGGTACCTACAGTTCAGATTTAATACATCTGTTTGCACCATTGTGTCGGTTGTCTGGGATAACGGTCTTTTAGCTTGTTTTCAAGAATCAACAACAGAACCAATATCTTGTCTTTCAGAACCCCAGAAAACCATACAAAATTCCAAGAGAAGTTCTGTCTCTGAAGTCAAGCAAATGCTCTCTCTCTCTCTCTCTCTCTCTCTCTCTCTCTCTCTCTCTCTCTCACACACACACACACACACACACACACACACACACACACACACACACCGGGTTTTTTTGGGGGGGAGCCAGTATACACACACATACCTGCCTACCCACCCACCACACCCAGATGTTTTGCTGCAGAGCTTTTATAGCTGCTTTTTGCTAAACGGCTGAGCTGGCTGAGGAAAGATCTTGAAGGGGCAGGGCACCATCAACCTAGGTGCTAGCTATTCTTAGGCAGCCTGCTCTCTTACATTAGAATTGACCAGTGCTTGAATAAGAAGCAATTTAGTGATGATTGCAACTTCCAGTGCCACTAGACAGACCAAACTAAGAAATCAAATCAACAAGAAAGCTAAAAATAGCTTTTATTGAAATTGACTACAATAATGGAATCCTGAAAGTCTGATTGTGTTGTGTCTCCTCCTTATTGTCCAGCAAATTATGGAGGTGTGTATTTGAACTACTACTGTTATCTTGTTGTTCTGGACTTTAAAAATGTGTCAGCTCCATTTAGTTAGACAACAGCTTCTGCATACAGGTAGTCCTTGACTTACAGCTCACAATTCATTAAGCAACTGTTGTAGGTTATAAGAACAACCCCCAAAAAAAGTGA